GTGCGAGGGAGAAAACTTCTTCTAAATCGCACAGTGGTGGACCGCGAATCATCCAGATGGTATGGATGGTAACGCGAGTTTTGTCGCGATGTACGATAGTGAAATTGAGCGGCTGGAATTAGTCCGAACAATTCCTCAGAGCACTCCCCGTGATAGATGCGATAAAATATGCAACATCTCTACGCAGTGCCAGTGTATCGAGCCGATCGGAAAGAACTCGGTCGTCGACGATTCGAATCGCTCTGCGCTGGATGCGGTCAAGTGGAAGAAGCTGGCACTGGGGTGCCCCGGCCCAGAGATGAGAACAGTATTCCATGTGGGGCCGAACTTGCGCTTTGTAAAGTTGCAAGCGATGTGCCGGCATGAAATACTGTCTCGCTCTGCTGAGCACGCCAAGCTTTTTAGAGGCCAATTTGGCCTTCCCTTCCAAGTGACCACGAAACTGCACGCTGTTCGATAATGTCGACGTCAAGGATTCCGATACTGGCTGAGGCAGCAAGGGGAGTGCCTTGATACTGAGGAGATACGACAAAGGGGTTCTTTTTAGCGGTAAACGCGCAAACTTGTGTCTTCTGGGGATTGAACTGGACTAGATTTAGTCGGCCCCAATCCGAGACTTTGTTAAGCAAAGACTCGACTTCAGACACAAGTTTGTCCCGGTACTCGGCGACGTTTTCCCGAGAAATATTGGCACGGCCGGTGAATAGGAATTTGATCTCTTTTTAATAATAAAATGCAGTAATTTGCTCAATCGACCTTTACTTGATCTCTAAATTTTACAACGACGACCGGTACAACATTTTTTAAACATACCTACACAGCTTACGGACTAATATTGGCATGAGAACTGCTAATATAATTTGACAGGCGCTTCAACATGCCCCCCGGCGTTGAAAGTCTACCTTTCAACCAGATTCTTCAGGTTCAGGAAGCGGACAAATTTTGCTAAATGATCGGCGAACTATACCAGTCGATGTTTTGATATCCGCCACCCTTGATACGCCGTCCGAGCCTGGATGGACTGCGACGATGCGACCCATCTTCCACTTTAATGGCGGTGAATTCTCCTCTTTTAGGAGTACCAGTGAATTTAACTTCAAAGAGCCTTTACAGGAACGCCATTTCATCCGCAGTTGAAGCTCTGATATATATTCCTTGCTCCATCTAGCCCAAAAATGTTGACGTAATTGTTCTATTCGTTGAAATCGGGTTAAAGAGCTTACGGAATGATCTTTATAGTCTGGTGTCGGCAAGGAAGTCAAGGGGCGTCCAATCAAAAAATGACCGGGCGTTAGTGGTAGCAAGTCTTCAGGATTCGTTGACAAAGGTGTGAGTGGTCTGGAGATAAGTATAGCCTCAATTTGTATTAATGTGGTATTTAGTTCCTCGTAAGTCACATTACAATTGCCCAGCACTCTAACTAAATGATATTTAATGCATTTGACACCAGCCTCCGCAAGCCCAGCAAAATGGGGAGAATAAGGCGGTATGAAATGGAAATTAATTCCTTCATTTGCCATTACCTCAGATAAAGAATTACAATACGTCCTAATAAATTTTGAAATGTCATTGTATGCGCCTACAAAGGAGGTACCATTATCCGAATAAATATTAAGAGGTTTCCCTCTTCTAGACATAAATCTGCGTAAAGCTAATATGAAGGTATTGCTAGTTAAATCACCCACTAATTCAAGATGAATTGACTTAGTCGCGAAGCAAATAAAAATAGCTATATACACCTTTACAATTTTACAACCACGGCCATGGCGAGAAACAGATTGAATTGGTCCCGCATAGTCTAGTCCAATATTTTGAAATGGAAAACCAGAAAGGATGCGTTGGTGTGGTAGGTTGCCCATTATTGGAGAGATGGTTTTTCCTTTCATTCTATTACATCTTACACATTGTCGATAACAAGATCTGGCCAAATTACGACCTCTAATCGGCCAGTACATCTCTCTTATAGTGGCCAACATTAGCTGTGGTCCCGCGTGCATTAACCTTATGTGCTCATAATTGAAGAGCAATTTGGTAAAATAATGAGTGGACTGTATAAGTATGGGATGTTTTTTCTCATAACAGTAATCGGAATTTTCAAGACGCCCTCCAACACGCATTATTTTATTATCATCGAGAAATACATTAAATTTATGCAACGGACTTTTAGTGGGTAAACTTTTATTTTTAATTAACATGGTGTATTCCTCAAATGATTCACTCTGAGATATTCTTATAATAACATTGAGTGCGGTTTGCAACTCTTGATTGCGTGCTCTTGATTGGACCGTGAACGGATTGCTTTCTACAATTATTAATAAAACGCAGCACATAAGCAACGGTCCGATTTAATCTAGTATATTTAGAAAAGCGTTTAAATTCAATTAATTTATTCCCACCTAAATCTTCATTGTTGCTAGAATGAAGTATTCCGTGGAGGATAACATTTGACGATTTAATCTCAGGCAACTCGTGATTAATACTTAAGAAATTTGCAGGCCAGTGAGAGACCTCTTTCTTTAAAAATTCAGGTCCTGACCACTTACTCATGGATGAAATATCCTTACAACTCACACCGCGAGAAATATGATCGGCCGGATTACACTCTGTTGGGACATGCCTCCACTCGCAATTTCCAGTCTTCTCTAATATTTCAGCAACCCTATTTCTGACAAAGGGTTGTAGCTTGCTAGGTAACACCTTTAACCATCCTAACACGATGGACGAATCTGTCCAAAAGAAAGTGCGCTTAGCCTGTTGTCTCAGCGATGCTACAACCTTTTGGTAAAGGCGGGCTCCAACAAGTGCACCACAAAGTTCCAGTCTTGGGATTGTTATAGGTTTAAGCGGCGCGACACGACTTTTCGCCATCAATAATTGAATTAAAACCTCACCCTGATCATTAACACTACGCACATATAAACAGGCGCCATATGCTCGCTCAGAAGCGTCCGAGAAAATATGAAATTCAAACAAACTAGGCGAGTCACAAATAACACGACGTGGAATACGTAGAGTATTTAATTTAGGTAAATCGACTATTATCTCAGCCCACATCTTGCTGATTTCTGGCGTCAACTGCTCATCCCATGACAGCTTGAGCAGCCACAACTCTTGAAGAAGCATTTTCATCTTAATTACACAGGGAGATAGAAGTCCTAGTGGATCAAAAATCTGAGAAATCACAGATAACATATCACGCTTTGTTCTACCTGAGAATAGCCCTCCTATAGGGAAACAAAGTTGGTCAGTATGTGATTGCCAACCAAGGCCTAAAGTTTTAGTCGGTTCAAAGCCACCAATATTCAAATCAAGCGGAGAAATATCATTTTCACTAACCATTTGAGATTCATTCGACTTCCACTTTCGCAAAACCATATGAGCTGATGCAAGTGTGGAAGTCACTTTACGGCGCAAATCTGTAACCTCGTTAATATCATCCCCTCCCGTTAGCAAGTCATCAACGTAAAAATCGTGAATGATCACTTGAGCAACCTTGTCATCGGTACACTCTAAGCCTAATTGTTGGAGGCACCTAGTTGCCAAAAAGGGAGCACTAGAGGTGCCGTAAGTCACGGTGTTAAGTGGATAAGCTTGAAGCTGTTCTGAAGGGTTATCACGCCAGACAATTTGTTGCAAATAGCGGTCATCGGGATGAATGACTATTTGCCGGTACATTTTCTCAACATCAGCTGTGAGAACGTATTTGTGTAGCCGAAAGCGTAAAAGAATGGACAAAAGGTCGTCCTGTACCACGGGACCTACCATCTGTATATTATTCAAGGAAACACCCGAAGAAGTCGGACTGCTAGCATTGAAAACGACTCTTAATTTAGTAGTAGTACTACTTTCCCGAAGCACACCGTGATGTGGTATAAAATGCATCTTACGTGGTAAATTATCATTCTCACATTTCTCCATATGACCCAGACTTTCATACTCTGACATAAATTCTTTATACATTTCATAGACCTGAGATTGACCTGCTAACCTGCGCTCTAGCGATAGTAAACACTTTTTAGCTCGTGGCCAAGAATCACCTAATACGTCAGGATTATGTTTTAAGGGTATCCTCACGCAAAATCGACCATTTGCCAGTCGCGTGGTGTTTTTTAAAAAGTGTTCTTCGCATAATTTTTCTTCGTTTGAATAAAGAGACGCAGGGCTTACCTCTTCGAGGTGCCAGAAGCGTACTAATTGTTTTTGTATATCTTCATCTAAATCTTTACTAGCCTCATCTTGAAATATTCTTGTAAAATTACATTTAATAAAGTTAACCCCTTTCTTTACATATCTATAATCTATCGGACCTGATACTAACCATCCTAAGCTAGTTTCACAAAGAATCGGCTGACCGTCCCCTAATTTTAATCTCTGCGTTCCTATTAAGTCCCAAAAGACATCAGCACCTATAAGCATGTCAACGGGAGCAGGTGAGTGAAAATTAGGATCTGCCAGAGAAATATTAGATGGAATTTTTAAGTTTGACAAATTAACATATCTAGTAGGTACATTTTGGGTTATTGATGGTAGGACAAAACAATGAAGATTACTAGAGAAGTTATCATTCAATGATTTTATCGATACCTTACAAATCTTCTTGATGTGTGCCGAAGCATTATTAATACCGACTACCGACTGATTTACATTTGAGCGGGCAAACCTAGCCTTTGATATAACTCTTCAGTTATTAAACAAGCGTTACTGCCACTATCAAGAATAGCACGAGCAATATATGGACAACCATTCTTACCTATAACTTTAATTAATGCCGTCGATAACAATACGTCGCCTTGTTCACTACACGATGCAGTGCCTACCTTTGCGGATAATGACAGATGTGCGTTAGAATTGGATGACAACTGTGAGCCTGTCGAACTGTTTGTTTGTTCGAAATGACCTTGCATAACGGGCTTATTATTACCACTACTCGTGTTAGATGTATTAATATCTGTAATTGGTTTTGACTGGTAATCTGCGACGTGCACGAGAGTGTTATGCTTTCAGTGGCATATTTTGCATCCTGGCTTTTTGCAGTGATTTGCATAATGTCCTGAATTAAGACAATTGAAACATACTTTATACTCTGGCAGTAACTGTAGACGCACATCGTTACTTAATCCAAGATACTGAGGACAACTGCTTAACTTATGGTCACCCTTACATTTAGGACACAGTTTGGCGGAAAAGGCCGAACCGTTTTTATTACCGGTATCCCGCACTGAAACCATTGCCTTAACTTTTGGAGCATATTTTATAGAAGAATTTAAACGGTTAGTAGCACCAGAATTAGACATTTCTAGTGTTTCGATTAAATCGGCTCGATTTTTTAAAAACATCAAAAATATATCGAACGTAATAGGTGTATCTTTCTCCAAACGACCTTTAGACTCTTCCCATTCACGATATGTCTTAGCATCTAATTTTTGAGTAATAATATGAATGAGAAGTGTGTCCCATTGTTTAGTTGGCTCACCGAGAGATTCTAGTGCACGTAAATTTTTATTTATTTGGTCAATAAGACGTTTTAAGTTGACAGACAATTCTTTATTAATTGGTGCTATATTAAATAAGGCTGTCACGTGATTTTGAATTAGTAGTCTTTTATTATCATATCTATCACATAATATAGTCCATGCGACGGTGTAATTAGCTGCCGAGAATTCGATTGACTGTATTACCACAGCAGCGGGCCCTTCCAACGACGCTCTCAGATAGTGAAACTTATTTATGTCATCTATCTCGTCATTTGAATGTATGAGGCTCATGAACGTGTCATGAAACTCTAACCAATTATCATAAGAACCATTAAATTTAGGTAGTTGAATAGTGGGCAGTTTAACAAATTTATGATTGCCGGAATGAGAGCCACCGTCACTGCTTACGTCATCTGACTTAATGCAATCTGCTAAGATCCTTTTTGCAAGAGAAAGCGATTTAAAATACAGGGATTCAAAATCAGTTCGTTCTGATATCTGGGCGTCTATATTATCAGTATTACACTCGATGGATAATTGTACCTCATCATATCGTTCATACATTGACTCAATCCTACTAATACGTAATTGCAACTCATTTACCTCAGTAGCAGCCAATGAAGATACCTTCAGTGAATTTAAATAATTTGAAAAAGCTGTTATTTGTCCCTTGTAACTAGCTCGTTTCCTAATTTGCTCCTTATCTTCTGGCATGCTGGCTGGTATTGGGAGACTAGTGCAAATGCCTGAAATTTATGCAAACAAGAAGTTTATATTTTATAAAATATAATTCATAAGTAGTTTTATACAATTTTGCTTACAGTTGTAAAGAAATGAAAACTAATTCCCTTACTTATTTTTCAAACTCTTAAATAATTAAACAAAATGGTACATGTACTACCTTGATATTTAACTTTATAATTAACAACAATTAAGGGTAACAAATACAATTCAGACCATCAAACAGCTTCACAGGTATGCCTTAGTATGTAATAAATAATATTATGCAATTTTTTCAATTATACACTCTCTTGACTTATTTTTTAAAAAACAGTTTAAACCAATAACGAGAAAAAAAAAATTATAATATCGTCAATATAATTTAACTAAGCTTTATAATTTGATTTAATCATGATTTGACGGTTATTAGAAACTATATAAAACAATATTAAATGAATTTATGCCGATTAAATACTTTAAGTTATACGTAATTATTTTATAGGTAATTTGGTACTAACCTGATAAATTAGCAGTCGATTTACACAAAATACTACCTGATAATGAGTGCTGGGTTAAATAAATTAAATAATAGTCCAATATCTAAGGGGCTAAGACTCCAGATTTCTTGGTTAAATATCTTCACTCCCTCGGTGGTATTTCCACAACGAATATTTAAGACTTCCCAAGCGTATTCCACTAAATAATATCTTGTCCAATTACGTTTTTTCAAATCCGGCTTCGATTTAGGACCATGAATAGGAATTTGATCTCTTTTTAATAATAAAATGCAGTAATTTGCTCAATCGACCTTTACTTGATCTCTAAATTTTACAACGACGACCGGTACAACATTTTTTAAACATACCTACACAGCTTACGGACTAATATTGGCATGAGAACTGCTAATATAATTTGACAGGCGCTTCAACAGCCGGTATATAAGGCATCCCCAGTGCTGTCGTCTGCATAGCAATGAATGCTACCAGTTAGCAACATATCATATAGAAACAGCGTTGGTGATAGCACGCAGCCTTGTGGAAAACCAGCGTTGATAGGCTTGAAATCAGAGCATGCACCGTCTACTACGACCTTGATGCTCCGATCAGCAAGGAAACTGGTGATCCATTTGCACAATTTCTCGGGAAGCCCATAGGCAGGAAGCTTCGAAAGAAGCGCCTTGTGCCAGACCCGATCGAAGGCCTTCGCTATGTCCAAACTAACGCCCATGCCTCCCCCTTGGACTCTACTGCCTCCGCCCATCTATGAGTTAAGTAAACTAGAAGATCACCTGCTGATCGACCCCGACGAAAACCGTACTGACGGTCACTGATCAGCTGGTGATCCTCAAGGTACCTCATGAGCTGGCAATTTATAATGGACTCCATTATTTTGGAGAACAAGGAGATGATGGCGATAGGCCTGTAGTTGGACGGGTCTGAGCGGTCGCCTTTTTTAGGGATCGGGTGGACCAAAGCTGTCTTCCATGAATTCGGGACTACGCCTTGGGAGTAGGAGTACCGGAAAAGACGCGTTAAAACCGGTGCCAACTCTGGAGCACACGTCTTCAGCACAATGGGAGGGACTTCATGGTCTTCCACATCTGGGATCCGCGTAGGCGAAGTAACCAGTTGTGTTAGACCATATGCCAAAGCAAAGTCGTAGACAGATCTACCCGCATGATCGGTTAAACCAGAACCAAGCCATTCAGCGTGGTGGGCGTTGAAATCACCGAGTATCACGATCTCTGCGGATGGGACCTGTTGTAGCTCGGAGTCTGCAGCCATTTGGACGTGGTCGATGAGTCGGTCTGTGTTGGCATTACCGCTATGGGACCTTTAGAGGCACCCGTAGACGCGGGGATAGTTGGTCGTCGCTGTCTACGCGCAGCCATAGGATGGACAGGTCCGTACCTTCAAGGTACATACTACCTACATACAACTCGGTGCATGAAATCTCACTAAACCATATTGGACCGGTCGTTAAGGGTAATATTATGGTATAAAGAGCTCTTCCCATTTTATCATAAGCCCCAAGTCAAGATCTACTAGATTTACCATCTACCATCTACTATCTACAAGATCTACCATCTCAGAAATCCAACACAAATATAAAAACATACGTAGCAGAACCACGCTGCAGCTATAAATTATGGTTGTAGCACGAATGAGTCAGCTCGACCGGAGTAGGACCACACTCTCACAGAATACCAGCGTAAAATAGCAGCTTCATGGTGCTGTGTTTCGTATGGTGAGTGTAGAGAACCGGAGATAATTTTTACTGGAAACGAGGCATTGCATCTTAGTCCTCAGGGGTGACAAGGCATCTGTATTTTGATTCTAAATCGTGAGAAAAAATATAGATATCTATGGCCCACAGCATCCACTTACCATCAGGTGGACTGTGTGCTCGTTTGTCACATGAAAATTTTAGAAAAATTGACAAAAAAAAGAACATTAATTGCTGTCTGTTTAAAAATATATCTTGTCAGTAGTATACAACAGTAAAAACAGCTATGCAGTATATTAATAAGCCTTAAAACATTCGATACTTTTCAAACAACGTGATTTGTCTATTTTCTCTGTAAGCTAAAGCCACTCAATGAATTTCTGTTGCTCGCAGGATTCAATTACTGAAGTAAATGTAAAGCTAACAGACTGCGGCCTCGATAACTGCGAAAGCACGCAAACTTACCTATTTAAACCTCCAAAGGAGTTTACTTAATTTTCCATTATATAAATTCTCTTTTAAAATAGAATTACTTGTGAGTAAATTTTATATTGAATGTTTGAAACATCTAAATCAGTCTTTTATATTGTACTGCAAAATTTGCGCGATTTTCGGCTGGTCAAGCAAGTCGAGCGACTTGTGTCTAGTGAATAAACCTTACCTTGCATGAAACTCTTGAAATAATAATAACGAATTAGTTCTGTTGTTTTAAGGACGTAGTTACATTTGACGTGCTTGAATTTAGACATTCGAATTGCAAGCTGACTTACGCACACATTGAAAAAGTTTTCTACTATATTTTAGATACTAGCTTTTACCCGCGGCTTCTCTCGCGTGAGTTTGAATTTGAGGACATCATTAAATGCTGTTCCGTGGCAAATTTAGCAAAATTTTATCCTTTTTAGAGTCACCACCGTGTCTGTGTCTCTATGCCTGTCAAAGATTTTTTTTTAATTCTAAAGGACTATTAGACGTAGATTATTGGTATTTGGCATAGATATAATATACTACAGGAACACCTGAATATATATTTCTAGAAACACCTACTATTTTTTATATCGGGTGTGCCTTCCGAAGTATTCATACGAAAGGTAATATGTCTTGGAATCAAAATTTATTATTATTTATATTTTACTGTTTACATTCATTCATAATTAAAGTTTATTTATTTTTAACAAAATAATGATGAATTTCATGGTCTTCTATCAATTTACGGTATAATGCTTATTTGAGATATTTTATTCATATCGTTGATCCTATTTAAATATTGATTGGCACCATAAAATAGATGGGGATCACAATCTCATAAATGCAGTTCTATAATGAAAATATACTACACATGGAATAAATATAATGTTACGGATTTTATCAAGTTTAATTTTATCTTTTTCTACGAAGGGTTTTTTTACTCATCTTCAGATGAAAGTTTCATAAAAACCCACGTAAAAGAACATATCCTTGATCTGAAGCACCGACGCTCCGGGAAGTCTAAAGTATGTCAACATGTTTAGTATGGCCCCCAAGGATTATATCGGATCTGATAGATAACAAATATTTGCAATAGAACACCGATTTCTACCAACGATTAAATAAACATCCTAATTTTAATAGGAAAGATGGCTGAGTGCTACCATTTTTTTTGTTTTATAGGACAAGGGTGACAAACGAGCACACAGTCCACCTGATGGTAAGTGGTTGCTGCGGCCCATAGACATCTACTATCCTCTATTAGAAATCAAAATGCAGATGCGTTGTCACCCGTGAGGACTAAGATGGAATGCCTCATTTCCAGTAAAAAGGGCCTCCGGCCACCTGCACTCGCCAAGCGAAACGCAGAGGTAAAACTCTACTTCACGCTGGTTTTCTATGAGGTCGTGGTACTATCCCGGTTCGAGCCGGCCCATCCATGCGACAGCAAAAGCTGCCGCGTGGCTCTACCACTGTAAAAACCATATGCTAATGCATAATTAATAAAATTAAATTCAAACCCAAGCATACTATTCTAACTATTATATCAGTTTGTCAAACACCTCAGTCCTCCCGTGACCATGGATGCTGTAAAGTGCCCAAAACATCGGAAATTAAAAAAGTTTAAATTAAACGCGATAAAATCCTTAAAATTAGATTTATTCCTTATTAATTTTATTCACAGTGAACATGGGAAGCACTAAACTCATGAACGGGAGTAGAAAAATGTTCACCTTGTTGTGGTGGTGAAAGAGAACCCGCCACCTCATATCGTCCCGTCGTATGAGGCAACGTAGGAAAACAAACAGTGATGGACAGCATCATTTTCCTGACAACAGATCAAAATAATAATAATAATAGCCACGGTTGCCAACCCATCTACCAAGCATGGCCCCATTACAATACGATATCCAGCTACTTGACAATTTATGGAGGAGCCATATGTTCATTTTAGTGGACTTTTGATAGGCTGACGATAATGAGTTCTACTCATCTTTGAAACCCATGAATGAAATAAAAACTGCATATTATATTGCCCCATGAAAAGTAAAAAAGTATTAGCTTACATACATGTTACTACTGGGCACAGGCCGCAGAGAGTTTTAGGACAAAAAAGTGTTCGCAGCGCTGATTCCAACGCGGGATGACCTCAACTGGGAAACTTCTCAGATATGCAAGTTTTACGCATACTTTAACCACAGATTACTAAATAGTTTAGCTTTAACGCCGAGAACGTAAATCAACACTTCCAGTTGAAATTAAAATAAATGCTAAAATATATAATATAATACTTACGTATC